CACAAGCAGCCTGGCAAATTGAATTCTCACTCGTAGGAAAGGTTTTCTTAATTGTGCGTGACAAATTGTCCGAAGAGAATCTGGAAAGTTCCATTAATCAAGATGTCCGTCTGTCCCGACCCCCCCTTATCCATTCACTACAAATCCATTGCTGCTCATCCATTCATCAGTCCACACAGGATTTCCCAGTTGAACTTAAACCTGCACAAACCTGTTGGATATCTTATAATCAAGCACATTTTCATTTGTTTGGGGGTAGTGAACTACATGTAATTAAACTAGTAGTTTAACCACTTTTTCATTCATTCATTAATTTCCCCTCATATTCCCTCTGCTGCCTTCTTTTTCTTGCCCCTGCCCCTTAGACATCCTGAACCTGCCACTTAGTTTGACTGCATTTTGCAGTCATTTGCTGGTGGTTAAAGTAAATTCAAAATTGCATCATGATTCAGGTTGTTATATTTAATATTTTTTGCCATTTTTTGTGTAGTTAATTTCTGAACCTACAAACAAATTGGGTCATAAAAGAAAAGGAATGATCTTTTTATTATTATTTACAGTTGTTTCTCCACTAACTGAAGCCACTTTGACCGACCCCATACTGATTTTCATTTGATGCTGACCGCTGTGAGCTGTGAGCATCACACATTGACCTTTGCAGCACAGTGCAGAATCTCAGAGGAAGAATACATACCTATATAAATAGATGACACTGACTGGCTCCACTGACGAAGCTCGACTGAGTTTTAGTTGTGAGCAGCGTTTGCACATTCACATAAATTGTGGGCTGTTTTATTTTTTGGTTTATGTCTGACCTGTGAACAATAAAGTCAATGTAGTGGCATTGTGTTATAATTTGTTATAATGTCATATCACATTTCCTTTACAAAGTAGTTTGAAGTAGCTTCAGTTAACACAACTAGATTTCTCCCCATGGTAGCGTTGCTGGAGTTCAACTTCCTCCGGTGTGAAATAATCATAGTAGCTTCCCCAACATGGAAGTTTAATGTCTGTTTTGGTTCTCAGCCCTTCAGCCAGTTTGTGAAAATGAAACCCATGCATCATTTCAACTGCGGCACTCGTGAGCACTGTTTAATAAAAAGCAGCAGCATTTGTCTTCGTCCAGATCCTGAAAACAGAAGCTAATATAGAGAAAACAATCTCACCATCAGGTCCATTTAATAGCTGCTCTGGTGCTTTTGATCATAACACATGATCTTCATCATCGGCTCCTGTTAAACAACTTCTCTTCCACAAGAACTCATCAACTACAGTGCCAGCTGTTTAATATACAGTACAGCTATCCTAATTATATTTTGCCTAAAGGCCCACAGACCCAGCAGTACTCCTGGGATGCAACCTGCCCCCTTCATTTGTGATCATTTAAATTAATTAAATGCAGATTTATTTGGAAATATGCACCATTTAAAGCTCCATTTAAATCAACTAAAATACTAAATGTCTTATTTTTATACAGCTCTATTTTACAAGAACAGGCCTCCAGGATAAAGAAGCCTTAAGGCTCCTATCATGTCAGGTGACAATATCAGTATGTGCATTTTGTTGAGCCATTCAAATCGAATGAATAAAATGAAACAAAATGGTGTTTGAAACTATCCTGTGGTCTTAAACTGCTTATTGCTGATGTTTTATACTTTAGCGATAGAAAGAGTATTTCTAATGTTAACATAAAATCATAATAATTCAGCTTTGAGCTTGAATTGACGTTATTTCTGTAGCACATACAGACGTCTGGATTTTATTATTATTGTATTCATTATTTTGGTGTATTTGTTGTTTGATTTCATTTCTGTTTTATTCTTTGTTTAAACACTTTGTAACTGAGGTTACAAACGGCCATATTATTGCTATAATTATAATATTATTTCTTTTTTAAATGCTTTTAATAAGGAGTTGTGACCCCTTACAGTTACTTGGTAGAAAGCATGTGATAAACTAATAATAATAAAGTTACTAAATAAAATAATAAATAAACAACAATAAAGTAAATAAATTAGGCTCAGGGAGTACATCTTAGAGTATATTTATTTTTATTTTTGTATTATATCAGTTTCACGTAACCTCTTCATCCTCCATCTTGTGATTTATATTCTACATTTGAAAGAAGTAATATTATTTTATAACATCAGTGTAAAAATATAAATGAATAAACCTTTATTAATATAATATTAATTAAATATAGTTATATAGTTCATTGAATTCAGAGGACAGCTGCTGATTGGCTGATTGGCTGATGCAGGACGACCAATCACCGGACAGCTTTACTGAAGCTGATTGGCTGATTGGCTGAGTGTGTGTCAGTGGATCTGTCTGTCAGTCAGTCGGACAGGATGAGAGAAATGGGGAATAAATGTCTGTTCAGTCGGAGGAGAAGTAGTTTGTGGGTTCAGAGGCACAACGTGGGACGGTCACTAACAGTAACTGTGCTTTTATATCTCTGTGGTGGAAATACATCGAGCTCGAGCTGCTCCTCACGGGCGGGAAAAGGTTGCTTTTAGCTTTGTTTCATGAGTAAAGTTCTCCAGCTAACTATTCCACGGATACAAGCTAGGTTAGCTATCCCTCTGTGCTGTCTGTTTGTCCCTTAAACGAGCCTAAAGTCCGACATGAACCTGAACGCACCTGGCGCTAATTACAGATACCTTCAGGGTCCTTGACACAATAAGGTACAAGTGACAGTTTAGTGATAAAATGCTGGTTTTATGTACTGCTGTATACAAAGTTAGCTACAGTGGAAGGAGGTTTTAAGTATTATTAATTATTGAAATAAAGTAACCTGATTACTTTCCATTACTTTGGATTACCTCAACACCAAACAAGCAAATAAAGACAGAAAATAAATGTCAATAAGAAATATTGATGAAAATAGAAAGATATTTAGCATCCTCTTTAGTTTAGAGTATTTTAAAGAACAACTGATCCATTTCATAGTCCTTATTTGTACTAAATGTAGCTGTAATCTGATTACATATTTTCCTGTACCTGTAATGAATTACAGTTACCTTTTTTAACGTTACTCAGTTACATGTAATCTGTTACTCCCCAAGCCTGTGTAGGAAGTTATTTAATGTTCTAGTTACACATAAGTAAGAGGAGCAGCTGTTCTGATGAGCACATTATTGGAGGAATCAATGATTGGATTTATTTATCAGGATAAAACACACATCCAACGTCCTGTGAGAGCTCTCTGGGGCAGATCGGGGCAGTTTCTCAGGTGCAACTGTGACCTGGTGTTTGTGGGATGTTGCTCTGTTCTTGCCTTAGACTCATTTCCAAGATGCCCCAGCTTCAAGTGCTTGGCTACAGCTGTAAAACACCATCACTGCAATTACAACAGCATAAAGATAACAAAAAGCACCTGCTCATTATTCCTGACCTGATTCCTCATTAAATTAATGTTTTAATAATTTCAACATGACTTTAGGTTTCAGTTAGTTTTGAGGATATATTATATAACTGTTATCTTATAATGTGATTCATATATTGGAACCTCAGAACACAGATTTGACAGGTTTCATCACTGAGCACTCCACTTTATTGATAAATCTAATCTTTACAAATTCAATGAAATTTAATCTATTTACATTTACCAAAATCTTGATGTTTCATATATCTTCAAAGAGGCATATTACTCCAAGAGGTTGCAGCATTTTCAGGTTGCGTTTTTATTGGATGATGAGAAATGGATCAGGAAATGGTTAAAAGAGGTTCTGACTGGAATTAAACGGACATTGCAGTTAGGTGGCCTGTGCTATAACCACTTAGCCATCACGGTGCTACCTTAATATGAAAAGTTTGTGGAACATTTTTGAATGTTTCCATAATCCACAATGTGTGGAAGCAGTGGACCCGACCCATCTAGAGTCAGTGCAGCAGCTGTAACGTTAGGAACCTGTTACCTGTGTATTTTCAAACGGTCTAATTTTACCTCTGAACAGGCACTGATGAAATATGAAGAAGAGCTTTGGCATGATGATGATGTTGCTATGGAGATCTTAGTAGAGCTCAACAGGCGGACTGGAGCACTAACACTGAGGGTTGTAGTCATTGCTCTCTTTCCTACAACCATCCAGTCCGGTAGCTCCCAACCTGTTTGTGTCACTGACTGAATGTTTCATGTTATATTCAATATCTAACAATAACAGTACAGCACAGCTCAGAACCCAAACAGTGAGCCCAAACAGTGAGCCCAAACAGTGAACCCAGGATGTGTCTGAAACAGTTGATTGGAGTATTTCCTGTGAATATTGATCAGATATGAGTTTGCAGATATTTTTTACGAACTCTTACAACCCTCTGTCTTTAACAGTCATACATACTTAATAGACAGATGCAATGTTCTATTCTCTTTGTTCTTTTAGCTCTTTGGTTGTTTAAGGACGAGGCTGTGTAACAGAGAGTGAAGGCTCTGAGAATATAGCTTGTGTTCAGGTCTTCCTATGAGATTTATTTTAACTTTATATCTTAAATAATAATCTATAGACGCAGAAGAAATCACAGCAACAGATGCAGTGCTGAGAGTTAGGCCTGCTGCATATGGGGGGGGCTGTATGTACAATGAGCAGGTTGTGGCTGAGAACTGGAACAGTCTCACTGCACACACAGGATGGATATCTTGCCAAAACTCTTGCATAACTTTTTCAGTCAATGCAGCGGTGTTTGGATTCTAAGGTGGCCTGCTTTGACTGTAAAGCATCATGGGAAACAGGCAAATAGATGAAGCAAAATCTCAAGTTTACAGGTTGTGTTTCTGTGTGCAGCTCAATGGCTGCAACAGTGCTGTCTCAGGATGATGGTTCTCATTATGGATCAATTGTTTGGGTGATAGTAAGTCAGATATGTTATAAGTGTCTATACAATGTCTCTGTTTAACCCGTATTTGGAAGAGGAAAGAACCGGAGCTTTACAGCCCCCAGGGGTTTGAGCATCCAGCTACAGTCGTACTAATCGGTTCCCTCTCCCTGTTTCCACCTGTCCAGGTGCAATATTTGAGGAGAACGCAGTGCGGGACGATGAGGTGTTCCAGCTCGCCGTGTCTGACCTCAGTCTGAGTGATGACGTCCTGCAGAGCGAGAAGATCACACACTCTATTAAACTCATCGAGCCCAACAACCCGTTCCAGGCGGTGCAGGAAGGTAAGGGCGTGATGTGAAGCATGTTTGCATTCTGTGACTGTGTGTGTGTGTGTGTGTGTGTGTGTGTGTATTTGTGCGTGTGCGCCCAGAGATGCTTTCGAGTCTTCTGCAGATTTGGGTTTATTGTTGCAGCGGCGTGTGTGTGTGTGTGTGTGTGTGTGTCTGTGTGTGTCTGTCTCACTGGCTTGCTTCGCATTGTTAATCTTTAAGTTTAGCTGGTTCTGTCTCTCGGTGAGGTTTCCTCACGGCTAATGACCCAGGTATATCGACCTCCTAAACACTGTTTAAATCCCGGCTGCTGCCTGCTCTGTTCCTGCTCTCAGAGGACGCCGTGGGTCTTTGATGCGGCGCCGTAGAGCCTCTCCTTCGCCTTCTCTTTCCTCTGTCTTATCGTTTCCTCTGAGACTGATTCTATCTCAGTCTCTCCATCACTATTCCCTTCCCTCTCTTTATCTCCCTCTCCAGCCGGGCCCTGGTTCCTTCTGTGCAGAGGAAGCTAGAGGGAAGCACTGAGTCGAGCTGCATTGAGTCCAGCTGTAATTTTCCATATAATTGCCTACAAAGGAGCTAATGTGCTGCAGAATGAAAGTGTCTGTGCTCCAGAAAGGGCTGTGATGATGTTGAGGATGATGCTGATAAAAGTGATTTTTGCTGCAGATAGTGAAGATGATGGTTGATTGTGGTGATGTAACTGATAGTGATGTGACTGTTCACATGATGCTGGTGCTGAGCTTGATGTGAGTGTTGAAGCTGAAGATCCCCGCGGTGATTACGCGGATGAAAAAGAAAATAATGGTAATCAAAGCATATTAAAGTCTGTTGTGATGAAGATAACGCTAATAAAGACGTGAATGTGTTGATGAGGATGAAGGCTTTCTGTCGAAGATGTAATATGACAGTTGTGGCTTTGAAGATGCTGCTGATGAGGGTGTTGAAGAGTAACCGGGTACAGTGGTGAGATAATTATGAGCCCACTCTGTAGAAATATTGAATTCGTTTAAAATATTGTTCCAGAAATACTGAGGTATTTTAGATAATGTCTCCAGAACTCACGCGCTCTTTCATTTTGACAATATAGTTCATGTTCCGAGACACACAACTTGGCCGAAGGCGTTCACATGTTGGCATGGCAACGGTAACACCTGACAACAGCCACTTATTGAATCATCTTTGATCGCTCCGTCAATATTTAGTAACGTGAACAAATCTCTCCCAGAGACAGTTCGGAGTGGTTGATGGTAACAGATATCGACCCGGTGAGTGCGATCACACTCCGCAAGGTTCTCTTTACTTTAAGCACACATTATAACGCCTCCTACATCAGCTTTCGTCTCTCCGCTGTTACCCAGAGAGGAGACCAGAGGTCAGAGGTTACAGCATCCTCATTAGTGGACCAGGTTTGAGTGGCGTGCAGCAGAGGTGTGGATATAGTTGTTGTTGTGTGTGAGAAGAAGTGACACATTTTTATTTGAGTATCTTATGTAGCTGATGGTCATTCAGTGAAATAGTTTATGAAGTCATATTTTGCCTTAATGATCTTAATATCTCCTCCTCATGGTAATATTTCATAACGAGGTAAAAAAGAAGTTAGATTTTTGGAACTGTGATCTTCAACAAAATCTTCACCTGTTCACCTGCTGCATAAAGATGGGCCTAACATTCCTCAGTGGATTAATACTGACCTTGAGCTAATGAAGAGACACTGTATTAGTGTTCAATTATTACAAATGAAGTGTAAGTAAAGATATTTAACCTACACTGTGGTTGCTCTGTTGTTTTACATTCATTAGCTTTAATGATGAGTCTTAAAGAGACAATTACTCTCATTTACAGATTGCATCGTGAACAACTTCATCTCACAATCTACTGTGAAAGACTAAAAACACTGTTAAGGTCTAAGCCTAAGATCTACGAGATCTGAAAAAAATTAAAATTTGATGACAAAAAAAGTGTAATTATGTTAAAGCACATCCAATATGGAGAAAGTGAAAGTGCTTTGAATAAAGACTGAGCTGCTGGCAGCAGACATTGCTCAGCTGGAGCTCATTGCAGGATTAACAATAGAATTGATAATCTGATTTGATGACTTTGGAAAGCTCACTTCCACATTTATGACACAAATGATCTCAAAACAATTATCTCTGCTCCTAATTTTCTACTTCTACTCTTGATATTCATGCTGAACGTTGTGTGTTCTTGTTTTGAGGAAGGTTATGAGATGTGTCCGTCACACATGGACACTGTTAAAATATCATCTGTGGAGTTACAGTGAGTTCAGTGGTGGGTTGAAAACACAGCAGCCCCCCTACTCCTCCAGCTCTGGGCCTGTGGTGGAGCAGTACAATCCCCTCTCAACAAGGCCTTTTCATATTAAGCCTGTGACTTGCTCTGAAGGTAGAACTGCTTGAATCACGTCACAAAATTGGTTGTGTGTCCTCGCAGCAAATGATGCTAATGTCAGTAAAATCACTTCAGCACCTGACAAATGCTGTATGCTGTACCCTTACGATAATCAGCTAAGATGAGCTCGGGAATTAATTGGTTATTTACTCCAGAAGGCTCTTCAGCGTCAGTCAAACCACTTAGCACTCGCTGTCACTGTAATTATGTTTGTGTTTTCAACTGGAACTTTAAAAAACTTGGACGTCTCCCTGAATTCAGGAAGCCAGCTGAGGTAGATGGAACTGAGAGAAAATGTCACTAAAAGCTTTAAGCAGCGGAGATAAAAGCTGAACTGGATTTCCATGTCTGCCCCTTATTCCCTTCTGATTTACACTGGAACTTAATGCATCTCACAGTATCTCAGTATCACAGCTATTAAACATATTTGGAAGCAATAGGAATTGAGGGAAAACTGGTATCTATATATAGTTTCTGATACATTTATTCTCATCCGGCGATGCCAACAAGCCTCTCAAATATGGAAATTTCCTGCTTCTCTCTGTTTTATATCACATCAAACTGAATATCTTTGGGTTTTAGACTGACAAAACAAGCATTCCCTTGGACTTTGAGTTGCTGGGTTGAAATGTTTTCACTATTTCTTGACATTTTGTAGATCAAACGATTAATCGACTCGTCAAATGAGGGAATGTATGAAGGCTGCATGTCTCTATGATAGTGCCTTATATCTTTGCTCCCTTCTCATTACAATGATACTCCCATGTTGGCTGGTTAGCAGCAGTAACATCTGGAAACAGCAGCCTGTTGACTTTTAACACTTTTGTTATGCATGTGAATAAAGAAATGTCGGCCACAGCACACACTCATTAGCAGCACTACTTGAAGTGTGTGGAGGAAATTAGATTGATTAAAGTCGAGCTGAGAGGGAAATGTTGACGCACACATGACAGCTTTGGATGTGTTCATTAGCAGTGCCATGTGAACGCAACCTCCTTGAAATTCAGATTTGCTTGATTCTTTGTCTGTTTATTGTTCGTCACTGAGCCGCACAGATGAACCTGTCAATCAAATAAAGACCTCTGGAATATTTTTCCAATTAATCCGGTTGCTGTACTCGTTGGATGCTGTTTTCCCAGTTGGACAAACAGCTGAGCCAATCGGAGCTTTGTTGGTGGGATGAAGAATGGACGTCATTGTACTGGTGACAGACAGGCGTGGAGAACACAGCTGTACAGGTCAGGTTGTTGTCACAACTCTCCTGGCAGCATATTCCTTCCATATCCTCTGTAGGTGGCGCTCTTTTAAACCACAGTGGCTAGCACTGCTCTTGTGGACCGCCCGTCTCCATCTGAGACTTTTTACTCCACACAGACTGGATCACTTCCTGTATGGTAGGAAGGAGCTAATGGAGGTCTGCTGCTGCTGCTCAGTTCTGAGGTTCACATCACCAGTATGGAGACAGTCAGCTGAGTTGGTGTTGTTGAGTGCAGGCTGCAGCAGATATTATTCACTGATCAGCAGAACTGCTAACATACTTTATACATTTTAACCACACCCATTAGCTCAACCAGAAACCTTGACTTCTTCATCAGTCTTCAGGGTTGCTCTTTAAAGGTCATGGAGTTGGGTCACATGCAGACCAACACACACACACACACACGCGCCCCTCTGTTTACTGAGCCTGATCCATGGTAACTAGGTGTAAAGCCTGCTGGTGTTTGCTACAGACGGCAAACGTCATCTGTGTAATTTCATTTCCTGTCCCAGCTGTTCTCAACCTGTCCCTGCTATCCGTCCCTGCTATCCGTCCCTGCTATCCGTCAAGGAACACACAGACACAAACACAGACTCTCACTTTTAACTACTGTGAGAAATATTCTGACTTTATTTAATTATTCAGTTGAAATAACGTTAATATGACCCGGACTGACTGTGGTTAGAGATCCATCAGAACACATTCACTTTTATTATCGACCTGAGATGGTTTTTTGTCATCAAAGTAAAGTAAATGAATGTTTTAGGATGGCCTACGTTACAGGAGCATACAATGAGAGACAGAGAGAGACAGACAGAGAGGGAGTGGATGAGGGATATAGACACAGAAATTAAATATGAGAGAGGTGATGGTAAAAAGAGGGAGAGGGAGAGGGGCTGAGAGAGTAATGCTGAGGGAGATAGAAAGAGAGAGGGAGAAAAACTGAGGGAAGAGGCAGGTGAGGGGCAGAGGGTGAGAGGAGCGAGAGATATGAAGGGGAGGGAGAAATGACGAGAGAGTAATGCTCGGAGATAGGAAGAGAGAGGGAGAAAGACAGAGGGAAGAAGAAGAAGGGTAGAAGTAGAGAGAGGGGGGAGAAAATGAGGGGTGAGAGAGTGAGGAAGAGAAGAAAGGAAAAGAAAGGAGAGGATGAATGAGTGTGTGTGGCTGGAAGACTGTGTGATCAATATGTCTTGGTGCAAGGTTGGTGTGTCTGTGTGTGTGTGACTGTGTGTGTCTCTGTGTGTGTGACTGTGTGTGTGTGTGTGACTGTGTGTGTGTGTGTGTGACTCTGTGTGTGTGTGTGTGACTCTGTGTGTCACTCTGTGTGTGTGTGTCTGTG